AGATCAGGAATTAGTGCTAACAACTACTGACTGATTACTACCCTCTTGATCACATTTTTCCGGACTTACTACTTTAACCTCTCGTGTAGTATAATTTTCCCCGTAGAGCTCTGTGTAATAAATAATCCTTCGTCTTCCGACGAATCCATTCTCTTTCTAAACCCACGTTCGCACTGAGTAAAATGACTGAATTCTCTGGCTTATGAAGTATGCAAATTAGTAGTGTTACACGTATCGCACGAATTAATTCCATCATTAAAACTGTTTTGAACAATTATAACAACGAGCTACAATAACAACCCTCGGCACAATTAAAATCTAAGATATATTCATCACAACAAAGAACAATAGCAATGAGCATCACAATTATCACACACAGGTGCGACTAAAATCGAAGATCCAACACAGACACAGAACAATAGGATTTCATGGGATCAATATTCTTAATAGATAATTACTTCGGCACCCAGCTGAGGCCTACGACAATATTTCTCATAATGCCATGTGCCGAAGTAATTACCATTAATTATTCTCTCTAAACCCTATCGACAAAGCTACTAGATCACTCGCCCTAAACCTCGTGATTTAACAACCTTTCTTGTGTTCTTCTATATCCCGCGTGGCTTTATCACGCTATAAAACCCGAGAAAATGTGCTCTATTTCTTGATTATACTTAACTTTCATCACAATTCATTCGGACCAGGGTCCGGAACTATTCCCGCCCGGTAAATGACATACATTCCAATAGTACTTTTGTTCCTCCTTAGTTCCTTGAGGACTCTGAACTTCTTGAGATCGGCTAACTACTGCCGATCTCAAGAATTCCAGCAATAGTGATACAGCCTTATTGCAGTACGTTCATCATCAAACTACGAACTCATCTATGCCTACTAATAATGAATATTGATTATTGAGAAACAACTTAAGAAGTGATACACCAACGTTTGATTATTCATTATGAAGTTATCTGTTTATATTCTACTACGTAGATTACAATGAATGCAAGGACTTTGCTTACGACTGCCCAGTTAATGCCACTTGTGTGAACAATGTTGGTTCTTACTCTTGCCAATGTCCAGCTGGATTTCGCCTAAACGGAAGAAATTGCACAGGTTTAGATACGTGTAATATCTAGGGATTATAAACATGTTTTTTTTTCCTATAGTTTTCAAGTTTTCTAAATATCATTGAATGTGTAAACTGAACCATGCAGGCTCCGTCCTGTAGTGGCGAGAGTTGGTCGACTTTTTCTCCCGGGGTGGGGGGACTCATATGAAACAGACGGAGATGCTCGTCGTCCCGCTTAGGGGTGTAAATTTAGGAAAAGGTCTCGTTTAGGGTTCCGCGAAGAAATACAGAATTACGCGAACAGAAACAGAAGTAAAATTTTCTTTTTAACTTGTTTTGTTTACCGTATTACCTCAACATTAACTAGTTTTCTATTTTACCAAGTGCCAAAGAGACAATGCATGAACATGAGTGGTCTCTTTTAGGGGTCAAAATTTGCTTAAGCCACGCCCAGATGGTCTCCTTTAGAGGTTAAATTTAAAAATTCCGACGAGCATCCCCGTCTGTTTCATATGGGAGTCCCCACCCCTGGCTTTTTCTACGTTATGTTGAGTAGATTAATTGTGTTTTTAGCGAACGTATAACACGAGCCTAACATTGTTGTTTTCGAAGGAAATTAGATGCGTAAATGTGGTCCTCTGGCATTTATTCCTGAACGCTTAGGTCAGCTTTCAGTTCATTTAGCTCGTAAGGGATTTCTCGGCCCTTGCTTTCAGAAGTGCTAACGTTTTTGAATGTAAACATCTACTTACTTGTATTGCGTGTTGACTGTAGAGAGAGGTTTTACAACAGAAGTTCAAATCTTTTCATTTAACAGACATCGATGAGTGCAGCTCGGGATCATTTTCCTGTCACTCTCGTGGCCAATGTGTGAATATCCCTGGTTCGTACGACTGCAAATGTTTACCAGGATATGTAGGAGATGGAAAGACTAATTGTGAAGGTAAACGTACCAGTTTTTAAGCCATAAATGTCTTCTTGTCCTCTCAGAGCGAAGATCCTCAAATTTACGAACTAACATTCTGTAACGATTAATTCTAATGTATAAGGACCAATGAGTAACTCTTCATTCCTCTTTGAGCTTTTGCACCTGAAACCGTTTCTTTCACATGGGTTGAACCCTAGGGTGAAATTTTCTGGTGGAAAGTCGATAGAGCATCAAACTAGGGCCAGAAACCTTATCACGCCTCTAACGTTTTATCTGAAATTTCACGAGCGCACGTCTGATGTACCTTCACGGCATGGTAACTCTTGACACGGGATACTCCGCCCCAAAGAGGTGGGAAGTGCTGCGTTTGGTCCGTACTTCAGGACCTCGAGTCTAATATTTTCCCGTCCGGGCTTAATTAACTGAGTCACTTAGTATTTTATCATTTGACTCGGCTGCTTTTGCCTTTGTTACTCTTTCTCACTTGCGAGGCCTTACGCTGGACTGCGCGATTTTTTCTGGTCTTGCTCGCGCCATCACCTACGGCTCTCATATCGCACGCATATGGCACTTGTGGGGCCGTATGTGGTCCACGATAAGACTTCTTTTCCGCCTTTCTTACTTACGTTCCTCTATTTCCGACAGCTCCACGCCTGACAGCATCAAGCTCTTGCGTGTTATCAAAATTAACAAGGACATCTGGATACTTCAGAATAACCCAGTTTGGTTCGCAATACAGCAACAATATGGATTGTCGATGGAATTTTTCCTCGAATACAAAAATAGAACTTGTCTTCCACAGTTTTAGCACTGAATCGTCTATTGATTTCGTGTCTGTGTACGATGGTGGGTCGGTGTCTTCGCCTCTGATAAGAAAAATGAGTGGATCTTCACTGCCGCCACCTATTACAAGTTCTTCAAATAATCTCTATGTAAAGTTTTCGTCTGATGGCACGAATGCGTTTGACGGTTTTCAAGCAACATATCGAGGTAAAGCTTTTCAAAAGGTGGCTCAAAATGGTTTCAATAATTAAATCATGAGTTTCAAAAGAACGTAATCATTTACCTAAAAATTTCAGTTAATAGAGCGGAGCGAAAAAGTAAACAGTGCGATAGTAGCTGAAGAGTAAAAAAACGAGAGAGAGGCTTAAGTCGGGTCGCGTAATCCGGCCCAAGCCTCTCGCCTACCATTGCGCCATTTGCCATCGCGTTTAGTTTTACTAAGAGAACGCCTGGAGCAAGCTTTTAATACACCAATTCTTTGATAGATCGTAGCTCCATGGTTTTTAAAAATGTATGTGTCAACACTTTGAGATGATGTTTTGACGTATGAGGTTACCTTGGCAACACGACTCTTATAAATACCCATAGCTTCAAGCCTTATGTGCTCGTAACTCGATAGAGAAGTTCTGTGAGTTCGGGAAAAAAATTAGGCATACTAGTCACTATTCAGAGCCACCTAATTTTTTCATAATGTATGATGGCTTTAGGCTGTAAAGCTGAATTTCCCTACATTTTATAGTCATCCGGCAAACGGTTATTTCATCTTACAAATATACTTTACTGTATCGCAGTTTCATATGATATCTTAGCACATGCAAATTAATTTTAATTAGTTCTGTAACCGCTGAAAGAACAATGTCAGTTACCTCAAGCTAGGTATCAACCTGGTACATATTCTTTCACTTCTGTTATCAGTTCTTACCGCTGGATCCATACGTATCAGTGGCAACACTGCTATTGGAAGGATTGAAGTCTACTATGATGGCCAGTGGGGTACGGTTTGTGACGATGCGTGGGATATCAACGATGCTAACGTAGTGTGCAGGCAGCTTGGCTACACACGAGCGAAGCGAGCCTACAGCGGCGCCACCCACGGCCAAGGTACTGGGCCAATTTGGATGGACGATCTGGCATGCTCAGGCAGTGAGTCTCATGTATATGACTGTAGACATCGTGGATGGGGAAACCATGATTGTACACACAGTAGGGACGCCAGTGTGGAGTGTTTGTCAATCCGTTTGGCGAATGGTGGCGCCAACTATGGCCGCATGGAGGTTTATCACAATGGGCAGTGGGGCACAGTCTGTGATGATAGTTGGGATATGAATGATGCCGATGTAGTGTGCCGTGAGCTTGGGTTTCCCAGTGCGTCATCAGCTCCTCACAGGGCACGATACGGTCAGGGATCTGATCCCATCTGGATGGATAACGTGAGATGTCGAGGAGATTCTTCTCTGTTGAACTGTGCACATAACGGCTGGGGAAGTCACAACTGTGGCCACGGTGAGGATGCCAGCGTAATATGTAACACCTAAACAACCCTGAAAACATTTTTCTTTTTTACTATGATCTCTAGACGCTGGAATCAATTATATTATTATAGTATGTAAAAGAGAAATATCACTCGGGAATGAGTGAAACATAAATTTAGAGTAAAAAAATCAAAAGCTCTCTGCGAGAAGGAAAAGATCACATTTTCTTTTGATCGCTTAGACTTTGAATATTACATTTCGGGACCTAGTTTCTTTCGTAAATGTCAAGTTCAGTTAGAAACAAATAGAATTTTAGGTATCTGGTTTTTTGCTGAAGTTTTGCCGAAGGCTAAACATCGTCATGTTGATTAACAATCTGGTACGGTTTGAAAATAGGAACTCCATTAAGTAAGCTTTCATTTCACGTTTTCAAT